CAGAGGACTACAGGGAGAAGTGGGAAAGAAGGGAGAGAATGTGGGTGAAATCAAACATTTCAGAAATAAAAAATACTTACTTCAGTGTATTATTTTATGCATTGCTCTGACAATAATTGTCTTTACGATTCAGGGTCTCCCAGGGATTGATGGTAAAGATGGTACCCCTGGCATTCCAGGAATAAAGGTATGGACAACAGTAATGTTTAATTTTCTTAATATTTAAACAAAACTAAATGTACAATTTTCAAGAAAGTAAACTCTCCAAATATGTTTGATTTCTTGCTTAGGGTGCTCCAGGCCAGAATGGAAGACCTGGTCCACCTGGCCACCAGGGGGCAGCAGTAAGTACCTAGTCTTAAGGCTGGCTTATACCTTAACGCAGGGTTTGCATAGGTGTCTGCCTTCATACTTCTCCGTAGCATAAATGTGTCCACTAGGGGGCAGTGTAGGATGAGCCAAAGCCGGATTTTCAGAAAAGGGAATGCGAAAAAGAGCAGTCTTTGCCCCAGAAATGTAGAAGACTTTTTTTTACACTTTATTGCTTAAAATTGTATTGTTTCCACTTGAGAATTATTCGGGACAATATTACTCTGAAACCCTGAAACTGGCAGAAGAACAGTCGCAGTGTCAGAATTCACCTGAAGTCCTGTTAACACACAGCACCGTGCAATACGTAGACTCTCAGAGGACATCAATGCAGATCACCCATAAGCCCCCTCTCTGTGTTGTGATGCAGACACCCAAATGTGCTTCAGAAGTATAAATCAGCTCTAAGTCTGTATGCTATTATCTTTTCCACTACTTACTTTTCTGCAACGTGGCAGTATCGGTCAGCACATGCCCGAGGACAGACATTTTCACTCAGCTCACGTACTCACAAAGTCACTCTGCATTGTGTTTCCCTCCCCAACTTGTAACAATAATAATAGCAACAAAAAAAAAAAAAAGACAGAAATAATTAACCAAAAGTGAAGCCGTGTTTTCTGTACACCAATCCAGATTGACCCCTGTTGCTGGATTACTTTAGAATTTATACCACTTTGAAATTGCTTTCTCTCTCTTTCTCACTGCAAACAATTCATCATCATCAAATGTGACTTTTTTTCCTGGTGACTGGGAGTAATGGAGCATGCTGGGTATTATCCACACCATCACTGCGCTGAGCACCCAGCGTAATGGAGGGGCCCTCTCAAGAAGCACAAGTTATCACTGTCTCTCTCAGGCGATTGCGTCTTGTGTGAGTGATCCTCAGAGTGCCTCAGGTCTCACCTCTCTGACCTTTTCTGTTTTTTTTTTTTTTTTAGGGTTTGACTGGAAGCCCTGGCACCAAAGGTGGCGTGGGTGCTAAGGTGAGACGCTTCTAACTCAGTTAATTCCCATTAGCTGCAGTATTTTAGCTGCACAAATGCACCTTCACATACTGTATTGTCAAGAAAAAGTAAAAACCTGAAATCAATTCTATTTTTTTTTTATCTGTAGGGTGAGCCAGGACCTAGGGGTTTGGTAGGAATGGCTGGTGCTCCAGGTCCAGAGGTATAAATTCCTGTTTGTCAACAGATCATTTCCTGTTCATATTTCTCACTTATTATTTCTCTTCTACTAACCCATCTATTTCCTCACAAAGGGTGAGCCAGGGCCACCAGGTGAAGCTGGTATGGTTGGAGTTCCTGGGCCAAAGGTGACAAGTTTCTCTAACTTGCTTTCTTGATGTTCAGACCTAGGCTTCTGGATATATATTATACATACATGCACTAACTGAAAATACTGTGGAGTTTAAGACTAGGCTGAAACTATGACCACAAAATGTACTGCTCCTCCTTAAGTTTTATGTATTTGTTTGTTTTTAATGAATTTAATAGCTGTTTGTTTATTTATTTATTTATTTAATTAAATAATGTAATTTTGTTTTAATATATTTTATTTAAATTTATTGACTGTCTATGCTATCGCTCTTCTCCTTCAGGGTGACAGGGGTGAGAGAGGACCTGTTGGGCCTCAGGGAATTGTTGGCAAGCCTGTAAGATTTTATATATTGTTTCTTATTGACAGATCCTACAGATCCTACTTTTTTATTTAATGAACCTTTTAACCGTTCTTTTCTGTGCCTGTTTATAGGGAAGTAAAGGAGAAAGAGGGCCAATCGGTGTACCAGGACCTCAAGGTCTTCCTGGAACCAAAGGCGATAAGGTTAGTGACCAAACCATGTTCGTCTTCACATGCTGACAGAAAGAGCGCTGAGTAAAACCACGTCTTTAGACGTTGCAGTTAGAAGTTATAGCCATGATGTGGCACTATTATCCCATGTATGCACAGAGCTGTGCCCTGCCTTTTTCACCAGAAGATGTTTCCCTAGCTTCGGGGTAATTTATATCCTGGTTTGTCAAATAATTCGCTTCCTCAAAGATGAAATATCTGCCTATGGACACTTTAATGTTTGTTGTCCTTTTATCTGTAATATACTGGCCATTTAATGCAAGCTATTGGGCATTGCCACTGATAATTTAGAGCGGTATCCGGTTAAACAAAGACATTGCGTACAATAAAAAGCTTCTCCCTGAGCTATTACAGCTTGTGATGGATGTCCAATCTGCTCTAACTTCTTCCTATAGGGATTCCAAGGCAAAGTGGGATCAAAGGGAGACTTTGTAAGTAAATGCTCTAATAAATAGATGACCCTGTTTATGCAGCATAATGGAAATCCTGTGTCATAAAATACATTACAACGCAGAGTGACTATAGGAGAATTTATCAGTGTTTGTTGTGATATAGGGCGATCCAGGGGTAGAGGGATTGCCTGGAGAAAAGGGAGAAAAGGTAAAAATCACACTATATCTGATAAATTGAGAACAAAGAAATATTTATGTATCAAATAGTCACATACCAATTACCATCTTTGGCTTAACAGGGACTGTCTGGTGAACCCGGCCCCAAAGGACAGGTAAGCAGAATGCAAATTGAGAATATCAGTAAACATTTATAATGTTATAACTTCCTCTGTAATAACTTAAAATCAATTTTAGTCATACCAGGCTTATAGAGTACATGGGTGATTGGGGTGCGATGTCTGTCCCGCTGATTGGGGTGCGATGTCTGTCCCGCTGATTGAGGTGCGATGTGTGTCCCGCTGATTGGGGTGCGATGTCTGTCCCGCTGATTGGGGTGCGATGTCTGTCCCGCTGATTGGGGTGCGATGTGTGTCCCGCTGATTGGGGTGCGATGTGTGTCCCGCTGATTGGGGTGCGATGTGTGTCCCGCTGATTGGGGTGCGATGTGTGTCCCGCTGATTGGGGTGCAATGTCTGTCCCGCTGATTGGGGTGCGATGTGTGTCCCACTGAAGTTAATAAGGCAAAAAAGCACAGCTTGTCAGGTTACTGACTGTTACAAAATGCTGAAACTGGAGACTCCTTCCATAAATTTTCTTTCACAATCTCACTGATTATACACTTTTCTTTGTTAAATAGTCAAATAATTTTATTATTAGCCATACATTATATAGATAATCTGCCATACAAGTCCCTGTGATGTAGTTGTTAGAAACAAGCACATAAAACTTTTATTTGAACTGGAAATACTGTCAGAGCTGCCGTTATAGAAAAGTAAACAACACATTCTAACCAATCTGATATGAGGATTGAACAGTGTCATGGTATAAATAAGCATAACATCTGAAATATCAATCCAGAAAGATATATGAGGACAGTCCAGAAGATTTTTATTATTATTATTTTTATTATTATTTTTATTACTGTCCATCACCAGTCTTTCTCTTGTTCTTCACTGACAGCAAGGAGTGAGGGGTGAACAAGGACACAATGGTCCCACAGGCGATCCCGGAAAACCTGGAGACCAGGGTCCGCCAGGTCTTCCTGGACCTCGAGGCATCCATGGAGTGAGAGGTGCGCCAGGCATGCCAGGAATACAGGGACCAGCTGTGAGTATCCGTCGCCCATCACAGTGTAATTTGGCATTGCAGCACTCAGAGAGAGATTTAATTCAAGAGCAAAAATAGGACTGCACAACATGATTTGATCAGAAATGAATACAATCGCTTATTTTGAAAATTAAAATTATATCCAAAGTTAAGTTGCTTAAAGCAGTAGGGAAAACAGCATACAATCTCTGTAGACAGTACTGTCTAAGTCAATATTGGTGTTAGATATCAAGAAATGTTAATTAACACTGTGTATTAAGAGTGCATATGAGAGTAATATGTCTAGCTGTCTGGGAAAACATATGATGTTGCTGTGGCTGAAATCTGGAAAACAGCTAAGAAGACAAAAAAAAAAGGTTTCATTTAAGGCATCATAAATACATTTTATCACAACATGGAATTGTTGTCCATTCCTTGCTTTGGCTGTCTGTCTGCAAATTTCATATTGGCTAAGGAGCCAGTTTAACAAACACAGCAATAAAAACAGTTAATTAGCCTAAAGATAATGGAAACCTTGCTAAATAAGAGTGCTTTTCTCAAAATTTGATCAAATCTTTCACTAGTTAAATGTCAGAGTAAGTCTAATGGACATAAGCGTAATCAATTCAGTTTGTGAACAGATATCAGCAGTCAAAATGTCTGCCACATTTCAAGTAATAAAAAGACATTAATAATAAGAAATTAAGCCAACTGGATGAGTGACTGAATGAGTTAGTGATTATTTCCTCACCAATGTTAGCATTAAATGCAGTAAGTAACTTTTACCTTGGGTGATGAGACAGAGACTGATGTGAATAATTTCTTAACGTATTTCCCATTATATACTTATAATTCTTTAAAATTTGCCAGTAAGGAAAAAAAAAATTAAATTTCCCATAAGTAGATTAGGTTAGAAATGTAGATGTGGGGTGTCTTTCACTGGAATTGAAATCTATACCTGTTATTTTCACTTTTGGGGGTTATCCAACACAGACTCTAGACTCTTTAACAAACAATATATAGTAGAAAATGTCAGATTTAATAGAAATGTCAATACTTTATAGTAGAATGTAGAGTTAAGGACCTAGCAGTGGCGCTGGGGCTTGAACCCCCAACCGCCCGAGCAGTAACCCAGAGCCTTAATCATTGAGCTACCACTGCCCTGGATTTGGCCATATGAAGGGTTTTCCCAGGCCACCACACATATATAGTATGGTGTTACACCAGTTTAAAAAAAGACCTTGAAATATATGTGAATTTCATATGATTGCCCTGGTTTTAAATGACATGTTTGATAGTCAGTGTGTATGAAATATAGAACAGTTCTTGCTAGAGAGCTCAGACCTTTGAAATCAGTGTCATGATGTTGTTAATATATTCAGTGAAAATTGACAGTTAAGAGAGCACATTCCTACAGTATCTCTTCTCTTATCTCTTTTAATCTGCATATGTCACTCTCCTCCTTCCTTCCTCTCTCTCCGTCTCTCTCTCTCTCTCTAGGGTCGTGATGCCTCAGATCAGCACATCATTGAGGTGGTCTTGAAGATGCTGCAGGGTGAGTATCATCATTTCTGGAAACATGAGATTATCCCGCACTGCACACTACACCAGCTGCGATCAGGACGGATAAAAGAATGCAGCTGGAATGTATGCTGCTAAATCCATGCTTTGTATCCATAGAAATGAACTAATGTGAAACTCATCACTCCTGAGGGACATCTTGGCTGCCAAACAGCACGAATAGTGCAGACTGCAGCTATTTTTTTCCCCTCTATTTCGGATTGTCTTTTTTTCGTTCCCTCCCTCCCTCCTTCTCAGTTTACCCAGGGTTTGTAAGCTTGTCCTATTTGCTCAAGATGACCATAGCTGACTCATGATAACTTCTGTTAGCCCTTATCATTTCAACGTAATCCTGCCTTTGGCTTTCCATCCCACACACACACACGCACACACACACACCCACACACACACAATTTGAGACGGAACAACAAACAGCTTGTGAAAGGGGAAGATGCCATCTTTCCTGCAGCGAGGATGATTAGATTTGGCCACTGAGACCTCTTGGCAGAGTGTGTATGCTGACACACCTGGTCAGCTTAACATTATCTTAACACTTTTGTAGGGGCCAAGATAACCCATTTGATTTTTACAATTTTTAAAAAATAATAATATACAGCTGACTCGAGAGTAAAAGGCTATTATTAAAGAAAATTGTTACACCTTACATTAAGATTCCTTTAGCTGACAATATTTAACACATGAACAAACACTTGAGCATTAATACATTAACAAGTAACTAACACCTGTACTAATAATAAACCAAATAAGCAGAATAATCAACACCTGCATTAATCAATGATACATCAATCAATTAATACATGTGTTAATGTGTTTACTTTGTTAACAGTACTAATGGATTATTAATGCTGAGGTTTATGTTATAGTTAATGTTAGTTAAGGGAACCTTAATGTAAAGTGTTAGCAAAAATGAACAATGTCTGTTAATATAAATACAGATAATATAATATTTTTATAAATATATATATATATACAAAAAAGATTTTAGCTCTTAAACAACCTTCATTTATTACATTTATTTACATCCCCACCTATGCTCACACATGTTGCATCAGGAAGAACTGCAAGCATAAGAGTTGTATTTTAAAATACATTTCCACTTGTACTCCTAAAAATAATATATAAATAAAAAAATAAAATCAACCAGTAAACACTACATTCTAAGGTATATAGCTATATAATAGCAATATTTTAGCTAAATTTTTTTGCTGCGGCGCCCGGGGAGCAGTTGGGGGTTCGGTGCCTTGCTCAAGGGTCTCACCTCAGTCGTGGTATTGAGGGTGGAAGAGAGCGCTGGTCATTCACTCCCCCCACCTACAATCCCTGCCGGACCTGAGACTGTTCACAATATTATCGACACCCCCAAGATGAATATTCTGTGAAGCCTCTTCCATAGAGCTTAACTTCCTGTAAAGTCAACTGTCAGAGGCAACCAGGGTTTGGGGTAAAATATCCAGGTGCAGAATGCATGATGCTATCAATCTTCACAAGAGCCCCTGGATCAAATATCTGCAAAACAGCAGATCTGCCAAAGCATCAGTGATCCAATACAGCAGGTATCAGGTGCTTCATGGCATAAAAGTTTGATTTTGGTCTCATTTAACCACAGCACACAATTCCAGTTGCAATGTAATGATGGCTGTCAAGGCTCAGGTGCAAAATTTTGTTGGTTCCTCTCAGGAAGGCCTTCTTCTTTGCAGCTCTTCCAAACAGATTGTTGTTATGGATGTGCTATCCAATAGCTGATTTTAAAATTTGACAAGTCCAAGAAGCAACTTAAAATCAAAGCAAGCTAACTGAACTACCTACCACCACCTAGGCACCAATGATCTCTGCTTCCTTCCAAGCTTTATTTTTCTTCATTATATCTCTATACACATTTAATGAGAGGCTGTATATGAGAAGGCAAGCTGAAACCGTGGTGCTACATTACATTGGATATAAAAAGTCTACAGACCCCTGTTAAAATCGCAATTTTCGCTATGTGAAGAAAGAACTTTTCCCACCATCAATGTGAAATTTCAACATCTAAAAATGAAGTGAAAAACAATCAGAATCATTTTAGGGAAAAATAGGAAAAATAAATAAATAACCTGGTTGCACAACTACCCACGCCCCCTAAACCCATACTTTGTTGAAACACCTTCTGATTTTATAACGCCACTCAGTCTTTTTGAGTCAGAGTCTATCAGTGTGGCACATCTTGACTGCCAATATTTTCCCACTCTTTCTTCCAAAAACATTCTGGGTCCATCAGATTGTGAGGGCATCTCACTTTATTTGTATACTTTGCAATTTCACATTAAAGGGAAAAGGAAAAGTTCTGACATGACTTATCTTAGTTTCATTTTTTTTACTTCACAAAAACCTACCATTATAACAGGGGTGTGTGTAGATATTTTATATCCACTGTAAGTTCTTCTTCCATTTTTTTTGCATGTCAAACAGTAAATGGGAAATAGTTGCAGGTAGGAACTAAAGTTAAGTGAGGAACTAAAGAAACACCAAACCATAGGATTGGTCTGAAGAAACATATGAACCAATTGTTTCGATAGCAGTGATGGATGATATTTGTACATGTTTGCAATAACAAATGTATGGCCCAAGGAGAATACTATGGTTTTAAAATGGTTAAAAGTTACATTTATTTAAATATTCTTTAGGAATGGCAATTAGAGGAAAGGTAAATAGGTAAATATCTCCAATTCATGGTCTCAAACTAATGTGTGAACCAATCAATAAATGTGTGTGAAGCGTATTTTGTTTTAATACGGTAATTTTGACTCACTCTTATGAAGAGCACTAAATGGCTTTATGTACTGTAAGTCAATATCATTTAGAGTTAATACCATTTGCCCTGCTGTAAATGAATGAATATTTCATTCACTTTTGCACATTATTTAAGTGATACTAAGACGCTGACCATTTTACTGTGTACTCTGTTATTCCCACCAGAAAGGTTAGCTGTATTAGCTGTGAGCAGTAAGAGGGGAGCACTAGGAGGAGCTGGAGTAATGGGACCACCAGGACCTCCAGGACCTCCCGGACCTCCAGGTCCTCAGGGAACCCATGGCCTTACTGGTGCCCGAGGCATCCCTGGCATAATTGGAGCTGCAGGCCAAATCGGGAACACTGGCCTTAAAGGTAAAGTTTTTCTTCCATAAAATTCGGCACTGCTCTACTTATTTTGATTCACACTAATGCTGTGTTTATATGAGTAATGCATCTTGTTACTTGTTGTAAGCAAATCTAGATGAAGATATCACAAAGCTGAGCTGATGACAGCTCATATTCTTATTGTCATCACTGTTCTATATCTTACAGGAAGGAGAGGCGCAAAGGGAGAGAGAGGAGACCCTGGACGCCCTCATCCAGGTCTACCAGGGCCACCTGGCCTTCCAGGTACGTCTTACGTCCAAGTTTAAGTTCAAGTGTCTTTATTGTCATTTCAACCGTATACAACTGGTACAGTACACAGTCCTCCTGGACCATGGTGCTACATAAAACAACACAGAGCTACATGAGACTACACAGAACTAAATAAGACTACAAAGACATACGCAGGACTACATGAAGTGCACGTGTGCAAACAGCACAAGACAGTACAGTAATTACTAAAACAGGACAATAGGCACAGTAAAGGACAGTGCAGTGCCGACCAGTACACAGTTCTAGTGTGGAATAATGTACAGCTAGATATTACAATATAATAATAAATGTTGTACATGCAAACATAACAGTTAGCAGCATAAATGCAGCTGGTCAATACAGTATTTTGATTACATTATCTTAGCAGCAATGTAAGAAAGAAATGTGCCAAAATTGCAAAGGGAATAGTGTTCAGTTGAGTATGTGTGTGTGGCTTATGTTTGGTATGAATGAAGGAAAATATATATTGTGTTCATTCCTCTGAAAGAATTTCTAAAATATATACATTTATCTGCAGTATTTTTTACACACAAGTTAAATTATACTTAATAAAATAAGAAGAAAATAAGAGTTTGCAAGAACAAAATCAGATGGTGAGGAAATTTCTGTTTATGTAGTTCCAATATTTTCAAATATTAAACAGTTCAGAGATTTGTTATGATATTTTGCATTTTAGATGGTTTTAATGCCTGGATTAAAAAATTAGCAACTAACTAACTTTTGCTGATGTTTCAGTAAATCTATGTTTTTTTTCCCCATCCAATTTGTGGATCCTCAACACTACTGTTATAAGAGGAACAAAGCAGACAAATCGAAAAGGGAAAACCAAACAAGCAAAGTATTATAAAGTATAGCTAGGCTAGCCAGAACTCAAAAACAAAACAGGGTAAAATCCACAAAAACATGCAAGCAAACAAAAGGCTCACTAATATCACTAGTTAAATGCTCAGAGACAGCAAAGATTTACTGAAAGTCCAGGCTTTTTATAGGAAGTGTGTTAAATGGGAACATGTGATAGCAATTAACAGTCTAGTGAACTAGAATGAGGTGGCAGATCATGTGACAAGGCATGTGGGTCATTGGTTGCCTGAGGATTGTGGGAAATTGAGTTTGTGTTTGTATGTGGCGGGGACATGACGACTAAACTTTGAACA